ACCACCACAGCAGTTGTAGGGGGAATGGGCTGATGATAATATATAATAATAATTCAAGTACATCCTTTCAAACATAACTTTTTATTGAACATTCAACATTGCAAATGAAATGTGAAATAATATTAAAATATATAAATTATATATAATAAATAAAACCAATTAATTAAATTATAATAAATTAATTAAATCACACACAACCAAAACAATAAATTAAATAGAGTCAGGCTGGAAAACAGAGCTCTCTCTCTCTCATATATATATATATATATAAATAAATATGAGCACACATTATCTCACAAGCAAAAAAAAACTCCTTAAAACAACAGTCAAGTGTACAGTCCACTGTCAAAGACCCAGATGCCTCAACAGGCCATATCCAAATCTGTTTTTCTAAGTTTTCGAGCAAGGAACACCAACATGTTTGCATTGTCGGGCGGGGACTCTCCATCTCCAACAGCCGTGTTTGCTCCCAGCTGGAAAAACGGAATGGGGTGGTTGTGTTTTAGGTAGTTTAAAATGCGTGGTATTGCCTGCTTTTGTCGCTACCTTTTTTTTTTACACACCGCCCGGCTCATTCAAGTCCGTAGGTTCGCCTCGTTGATTTGGTTTGAATCCAAAATACTGCCACACCGGAGAATCGAGATGTGTCGTTAGGTTTTGTAACCAATTCCATTTCACTTTAAATTCCCCGCGAGTAAGTCACACGTTGTCTCCCGCTTGTCGCTATATTATTAATTTGGCTGCTACGCTGCTGCACGTGCACGCGGAGTGTCCTGACCTGGCTGTGTGTCAGCCCCGCCCCTCAAAGCGCGCCTGGCAGCCACAGCGCTCCAGGCTAAAATGCTGGTCACATCTTTATGTAAACGGCAATTTATCGAGCTCAGAAAAGTTATCGAGTCCATTTTTATTTATCGTACGATAAGTCAATTTATCGATTATCGCGACAGGCCGACTTACATGTAGTTCATAATGATGAGTTAAAGCTAAATGTTGTCCACCTTAGCCTTACCTCCTACATGCCACCATCTGTCAAATCCTTCCAAGGTCTAAACAGCTAACAATACTGTTACGGTATATATATATATATATATATATATCATATACACCATATCAGCAGTGTGAAATGCAGCAGCAGCAGCAGCAGCAGCAGCAGCAGCAGCAGCATAGAGGCAGCGCTGAGATCTAGTTCTGTTCTGCTGTTCTCACGGAGGCTCCAGCAGCACGCCCACGCTGCACATCAGAACAGCTCTGCTCCGCTGTAACCAGCCAGAGAGACAAGCAGAAAGAATATTTGAAAATAACTTTCATTTCCAAACATAAGATATCAACCTTGAAGGAAATTATCCTGAGATAGGCAGCAACGCATAATGAAAAGTTAGAGGATCGCTTTTACCATGTTGGCAAGTCTGTTCTCTCTCAGTTATAACCAGCCTTTTCTCCACAGAAATGGTGGGGACCTTGTTTGTAGTGAAGCTGTTGGTAAACTGCAGGAAGTCTAAATAGGCTCCAACACATCTCCGTTTACCCCGCAGTATTTGCAATAACTCTGCTGACTGTATTTCCTTTAAATGGGGTAGAATAACAGTTGTCGGTTGCGCTTTATATGTTTCTTATTATGTGGTACATACAGTACAAATGAATGGATCATTCAATTTGACAAAAAAGTCTACTCCCCAACTTTCCCAAGTGAAGGTCGTCATTTCCTTACCACTACCTCCACGTTTATCTACCCTTCCCTTCTTTTTGTACTTTGTACCTTCTTTGACTTTTTCTTTAACTCATTTGAATGTGCTATGCACTCTATTGAATATCAATCAACTTTAAAAGTTCTAAGCATTGACCTTAACCGTGGCTGCTAGCCATGTCTGATTATCGGTTAATGAACTCTTTCAAGTTCAATGGACCAATCAGCCCTGCAGAGAAAATTCATTATAATGTTTCTGATTTTTAAAGGCTATTTTCATGTTTAATGCACAGCGTTAACAGTGGATAGGAATTACAACTCAATTGAAACTTAGTCTTTTTAATTTTCGAATATAGACTCAGACTCCGCAAAATCAAAAGCAGTGTTATTGCACATTTTGTAAAGTTTAGTTGCTCCATTAAGAATCGGCATCATTAGCTGTTATCATGTTTCATTATCAAATGCTCCAGATTTGGCTTTATCACCTGCTCAAAGTGAAGAGAACTCATAAATTGTTCATTAGAAAATACATTTATGACTGTTGTATGTGTCTTATAATCCACCAGTGCAGTATTTTGTTGGCATTACATGTATATTTATACAGAGCCTTCTGAAAAACCTTACCTTCCTAATTGTGTCCTGCCTTCCTCTCTCCATTCTTCACAGACTACCGGTCTAATGGCCGAGACTTCCAGAGCTCCACGTTGTCTGTCCCTGATCAGGTGATGTCGTCGAACCACTGCTCCCACTCAGCTGACATTAACCGGGCGCGGTCGCGTTCTCCCAGCGTTCCCCCCCCCTCCAGGTAACTACACTCAGTCCACTATTTAGCTGCATTTCTCGGTGGACAGTGTTTTGTTTTTGTTTACAATTTGTATGTATTTTGTGATATTATTCATGGCAAATTCTTGTGTGTGTTTATGTAAGATGACCAAACATATATTATGTGACATTTAGGTGCTTCCATTATTTTATATAAACATTTCTATACAAAATGAATGCTTTCTTTATGAGAGATGTGTAATTTCTCCCACGAAGGATCACCAGACGAGTAAAAATCATTAACAAGTATTATTACTTAATTATTATTACTATTCATATTGGATTTAAGGTTTTTTCCGACTTGTATATACACTTTTTATATTTGTTCATATCTTTTATGAACAAACACATTTTGAAAGAGGATCCATTCATTTCCATTCTTAGGGATCCTTAGGGGTAAGCCATTGTACTGCCTTTCAAATGCTATAACAACTCCTTGTAGTATGCAGTATTTCTTGATTAACCCGAAATGCCTCACGTAAACATGAGGAGATTTTCCACCTGGCCAATAGGGGGCAGAATGTAAAGAACACGAGGGGTGATCCAGTCTACTTCTGTCACACAGCAGAAGTCTGGACCCCGCCTTTGACCTTAGGCCTTCTCAGTACAGCTCCTCCACTAGAGTGGACCACCACAGTGTGTCTGAAGATAACTACTCTCCTGACAGGTACACACACACTCCAGCTTACACTTGTGTGCAGTAGATGCATGTGCATACGCTGGCATGCATGGAACAAATGCTGACAGGCACAAGTGGGGGCTGATGAGTAAACATGCAGGGAGGTGTGTGTGCACGAAATACGCCCGATGCCATTTGCCTTAAACTCGCTGATATTGTGTGTGGGTTATTATATTCCTGCTTTTAAAGGGACACTTACCACAAAAATAAAAACACATATTTTCCTCTTACCTGTAGTGCTATATATCAATCTAGATTGTTACGGTGTGGGTTGCAGATATCGACGCTAGAGATGTCTTCCTACTGTTTCTCCTTGTGGTGCCAAAAATACATTGAAACCCTTTGTCCTACTGCATCACAGAGCACAAGGTAGTGTGCATATACTCAAGCAAGAGGGGTTCTTTTGAGTCACCTGAGCTACAGTAGCTAACGTTACAGCACAGCCAAGGAGGACGCCAGTTTTGTTAACCTCTCACTGTACCCAGACAAGCTGCTTGTCTTCAGTAGATGCACACTGCTTCCAACAAAGTCAGTGGATTATCTTGAGTTACCGGGTCATACAATGTAGTTCCATTAAATTGGAGATAATGTAGACATCTGTATGGCGGATATCTCCAGCACTTGGCAACATACACCAAAACAATATTAATTCCCTGAAACGTAAAAGGGAAAATATATTTTTTTTAGTTTTGTGTAAACTGTCCCTTTAATGAACAACTTTTTCCATTCCATTGAAACAAATGTACCATACTATGTTACCTGATACTGATGTGTGATTACCTTTACATTAATAGTTGCTTGATCTTCGCTTCATCATGTCGACAAACAGTAATGCTCCAAACGTCCAAAAGAGAAATCATAGCCTACATACTCAGCAAATAGCTTGTACCAGACCAGCATACACTTCTTTATCAGAAAGGTTGCATCCCAGTTAAGACCTACATTAACCGTACACATGGTAAAGACTGCATTGCATAAGAATATTAATCAACAATAAGGTTGTTCCCGCATAGATTTAGGCTAAGGAAACATTTGGAGAGTGTCCTACAAATGCTGTGCAACACATTCTATCGTATCTCGCTATGTTTATGGAAAGGTGGTCAAGGCGAAGTGGTCAGTTATCCTCCATCAGCACTTTCTTTCTGTGAGGGTTGGAAAATGTAGCTCCAAGAGGCCAATCATAGCCTTGGCACTGCCAGGCCGCAGCTACTTTCCCCCGTCCAATTAACTTTATTTGATATTTCTCAGGCTTGGCCTAAATCAGTGTCAGACGCAGAAAATGCACTTATCTAAATTGTCTGGGACAGTGCTCACTTGAGTGTATTTCAGCTGCTTTAATTAACAGCGTCCAGTTATTTATTGAAAACAGTAGAAAACGACACAGGAAATGAGTCATGGAGAATTTGGAACGGCACCAGAACTCTGACAATACAGACAAATCTCCTCTGGAATCTGTATAGCTTTTCGTGAGGCAGCTATTTTATTAAAACAAGGTTTGTATTCCTGTATCATCCTACTTTTTGAAATGTTGTGTCTCTAAAAGGAAGATATCTATGTAATGTTCCTGATTAATCAGTCAGTAGAAGTGACACCAATCAGGTTCAGGTGTCTCATGACTTTCCTGTTCAGTTCTCCTCTCTGAATGCTGCCGGTGTGTTCGCTGCACCACTTTCATCTGTGTGTGTTGTAACGCTGAGGATGACATCTTCTCACCATTCAATTTCTCAGCCTCTCTAATCTTACATGCCGGTTTTCCCCTCTTTGAAACTGTGACATCAACCCTTCCTACAAGCTTTCTTAGTCTCTTTCTATCTCTCTTCCCTCGGTCTCCTCACTTCTCAGTCTGTCTACCTATGATTCTGTCTATCTTGAATCCTTTCTCTCTCTGTCTCTCTTTATTCCTCCCTCCTTCCCTCCTCCTCCGCTTCTTCCTCGGTGTCATCTCAGATCCATCTCTGTCTTCTCTCCTCCTTCCATATGGTTGCAGCCATTTTCTCACCCTACCTCGAACCAGACATACTCAGCCTATTGATGATCCTCAAAAGGACCCCAGGTAGACTTTACCTGAGCATGCATGAAGCCTTATTTCTGCACCTTTCCACCCCAACACCCTCTCAACTCCCACCTGCATTGAACATATGGCACTGGCAGGATGGCATGTTTTCTATGCACTTTTAGATCCTTACTTTTAGAGACACTAAGCCTAACTACCCAACTTGTTCATACTCCCAACTTAATAGTGACAAAAAAGTGACTCTTACTTAGTGTTCTTTTGTGTCTGATACCAATTGAAATGCATTGGTTGCATTTTTAGACAATCAGAACAACAGAGGTGGTAAGAAGAGTGTGACATTTTGCTTTGATCTGAGATCAAACAACAATGGATGTTAAATGTGGTTATTTGAACCCAAACCATGACCTCTATTAAGCCTAACCATGAAGTTGTGTTGCTTAACCTAATCAAGTTCATCTAAAAAGCAGAAAAACCTACATTGGAAGTTTATTTTTCGAATCAAATGCTAGAGGGGTACCTACAGTAAAGGCCCATAGCTAAAAAGTTGGGAGTGAGTATGTATTGAACTAAGTTAACGAGGTTAGCATCGCACAATATGTTTTTGGATGCATTAAAGAGGCTACTTAACATTGCCATTGTCAGTGCCATCAGTGTTATGTTGGGTTAAGCATTTTGAAGATGAACCATGTACATAATGTGTATTACTTTTCGGTGATACAGAACATTGAGAAAATGATTGACCATACACTTAATCCATCCAGTAAGCATTGCTTATTTTCTCTTTTCATCAACTCAGTCATAAACATTCCTTTCATTTTCTCAAAATGTGTCACGTGTGATTCCTAGATGAGCAAATAGAGTGATTCTGAAAAGAAATAAATGATCTATGGTTTGAAGTTTTGTCCAGCAGAGGTTGTTCATTCACAGTATAGATGTGTAGGTTAGCCTTCAGCTTATCAATACCGTGGATCTGTGGGATAAGTGTTAGTTCAGATAGAGACCAAATGGAAAAGGCTGTCATGGGAATACCTTATACCTACAGTCTATAGGGGACTGCAAAAGCTGTTGTCCAAGGTTTCTTCCTTTGCAGGTTATTGTTTTTATTTTATTTCCCCTTTTTTCTGGAGAATAAATCCATGCTGACCAGTTGTGATATTTTTCCGCCAGCCGCAACCATCGCGTGTACCCTATCTGCCGAGAGGAAGCAGTCAGGTTACTGCGTTCCACTAGGATGGCCCGCGCCCATTCAGAGGGCACCTATTCCTCGGACTATGACTACGAGAGGTATTGACATGCACGGCTGCTGCATCTGTGCATCCGCCATGTTGTGGTCTCCTCAAATTGTCCCCCGTCCGTCTTTAATTTATCTGTGATCGTACTTGTGATGACGGAAAATGATATCCTGTCTGATATCGGTTTTGTGAAAGTGTCATCACAGCTCTGACGTTGTGTAGATGTCAAATAATAATACACAACTGCCTCTGGATGCTGAGGCTGAGCTATGTCTGTTGTCGAGGCCAGCTCTATGTATACTGGTTGTTAGGGCTGGCCAGCACATGACTGTGTCTTTGTTGATGTCCTTGTTTATCTTTGGTGTCATGTACATTATACCAACAGCAGAATGTTGCTCAGTGGTGTGTGTGAATTTTAGTGTTGTCCTTTTGTTTACATGCTGTTGGTTGCTGCTTGTTGCTCGCCATACAATGGCATCTATGATGCATTGCTCTGGGCTGCACAGTAGCTTTGTAAAGTCTCCGTTTGGCCTTTGGCTTCTTGTGTCTGGCCAAAATGGGCTGCCAGGCAGTTTTAAGCACCCATAGAAAGGCCTGCTGACACCCATCCATCCCCAGGACCCACGGCAGCGTCCTGATGCACCAATAACAAGAAAGAACTCACATCACCCCCTTTCCAGAGAAACACTGTAAATGACTCCACTTTTCTCTGTCTTCAATCTTTCACCCTCTGCCATCTGGCTTTCAGTCAGGAATACTTTGACGTTTGTGCCATTTCTCCCCCCCTCCAGGAGGGAAAAAGTGATGAGTCCTCAGAAACCAGCCCGAGAGTCTGACTGACTTTATTAAAGTGTCACAAAGTTTCCCTGAGGCCCAGCTTGGCTCGAGTACAGGCTCAGCCTACAGCCTAGATAGCCATTAATAAGAGCCCTCCTCTTCTTTTCTCTCCCCCTCTCTGCATTTGTTCTTAAACGACAGAGATAGTAGCTCGCCTCCCAGTGATCCACGGAGGAATAGAGTAGATTTCTCCTCCTCTCTTCATAGAGATACTGTTTGCTCCTGTCTTCACCAACGCAGAGTAAAAGCAACACTGAGAAAAGAAATGAGGGCAGAATAAAGTTACAAAAGGAAAAGAAACGGAGAGCATTAGTGGAGTCTGAGCCTGTTGGCAAGTGTCTTAGTTTAGGTGATATCCCTCCAGAACATGAGCAAATGTTTTTCATGGTTCTGTTGTTTAAGTGCATGGCCCCGGAGTGTACCTTGAGTGGGACAGAGCCCGCCGCTCACACACATTCAAACAGCAGCTTTTTGAAGTACACACAAATAATGTTTTGAATCCAGTGCTACCCTGAAGCGCAGTATGTGAATGTCATGGTTATATTCATCAAATTCCAACCAATGAGAAGCTTGATTACTGCATCTACTACCATCACTGCTAATACATGAAGATAATGAGTGTTAAAGGCTTCCTAAGGTCACTGATGGAGGAGCCTTTGTTTTGCTTTGAGACAAAAAGGACATCTCTACTGGACAATTGTTCATACTGCAAAGGCTACAGGCACTACAAGAATGTGACATGGTAGAATTCAAAATTCAAATAGTTAAAAGGAATCAGAAGCAAACGTTTTATCCCACAATATCAGACATAGAGGTCATTATTTAGGACAGATATGTTAGTGTCTGTTAGCCTTTTTAGATGCAGCTACCAGCTGTTTGTAGAAGGCTATGCTATGCTTTAGAATACATATAGTCAAATGGTTTACCTTAAAACCGTTACATTACCATTACAGATACACAGACATGCATGATCTTAACCTCCAAAGTTGAATATTTCCTTTTTTCTATTATTTATTTTATTTGAGAAGTGTATTGTGGTTCTATGAAAATGTTCTTTCATCTTATTTTCTCTCTGTTAAGGTTCAACAATATCCATGTACACTATCAATGATTTTGACGTTGAGAAACCTCACCTGCTTTTTCCCTCCAGCTCTAAGGATTAACTACCTTCATCCTCCCTGTGCCAAAAATACCAGTTATAACTAGCCAAATGTAATGTCCAGATACAACTCACTATTCCTCACATTTCACTCTATCTTAAACAAATCCACACTCAGCCACCACGTAGAGACAGCACAAGCTCCTGCACCACCTTACACTGTATTCACCACACACGATCAACTTTGCTGTTTTCTGTTCACTAAGATTTGCCAATTTACTTAAACCATCAAATCTGTATTTTTACTTGTTTTAGCCAACTTTCTGCAAACAATATGCAAACACTATATACTGGACATTAAGGAAGACCAGTTAACAAAACCAGCTGGAGGCTTTAATAACATGATTCAGTCAACTGTTGATGCATTTCAAAACAGTGCAATCACAGTGAGATGCAAATGTATCCCTAAATGAAGCATACATGATGTTCATTCTGATTGCCTGCCTAGGTAGATAATGGGATCTGTAGCAAAGGGGTTAAAACAAGCAAAGTAACAGGTTTGTTAACACATACAGAAGTTTTGAGGATGGAGCAAATGTCTTTGCTTCCGAACCCTGCCAAACATACGGTCCCGGCCCTGATGGGGCCCCCACTGAGTGCCTGCCTATCTCTCAATAACCTCTGTAGGAACCACGGAGCCATGGATAGACACGAGTATCACAGCAGGTCCCGCTCTGCAGACCAGCGGCCCTCTATAGAGCGCCCCACGTCCCGCTCGCGCTCCACTGAACGCCCCCACGACTCTTCGCTCATGAGGTCCATGCCGTCCCTGCCATCTGGGAGGTCCGCCCCCCCCTCACCTGCCTTGACGAGGTGTGACCCAGATCGGAGACGCTAACCATCTTAGCACGTTAGCAGACTGGAGTTTTAGTCCTACAATCATTTCCCTGAGGCACAGCCACTCTGGAGGGAGAGATAATTTAAACATTAGCTTCAAATATTGTATAGTAGGCCAAAAACACACGGTTACATTATTAGGCTAAAGCCAGGTGAATATGCAATACATACAATACATAATTTTCTTGCTATGTTAGTTAGTTAGGGCCATCCGTAAGAGATTGTTAAGGGTTATTTACATTTCAAATTGCAAAAGAACAAAAACATGGCCGTTTCCGATTTAGTTTGAATGTTAAAAAATCGAATATCTCAAAAAGGATAACATCCATAGGGTATGAACTACAGGTGGGGGATTACACCAAATTGGCCTAGGGAAATTAACATTTTATATTGAATAAAGGAATGAAGCAGTGCTGGGACTTTAATATCTTATACTGTAAATACACTCCAAGTTAGTTAACCTCGCTACTAGTACAGCTACCTATCTTATCCAGATATCATCACAAAAGGGTATTTAGAAAAGCTGGTTAGCCTGCTTAGACATCTGTCTACAGTCAAATCTTAAAGTAGTCATTCTCTTGTATTCGTAAACATTGACTCTTGTTTTTTCTTGTTAATATACAATCCTGGCTAACAATTTGGTTTCTCAATCCAACACTGAGTTTAAATAAATAAAAAATAATTATGTCTGCCCCCAGAGCACCTTCACCTCTTCTAAATGTTTGCATCACTAGAACCATTTTAGAACTCCATTAGTAAGACCCTCCCCCATGAGCCCCTTCCCCAGCCTGACTAACTTTACTCCCACTGCATCATTACTTCCACCCTCCAAATACCTTGCTTACCCCTCCACCTCACCTCACCTCACCTCACCCCACCCACCTCCCCCTCACGACTACCCCTCCACCCTTTCTAGCCACTTTCTGTTTTGTCCCCTGAAAGCACCGGTGCTGTATTTTCTTTACACATGTTCCAGGCACGACTATCCTGACACCGTAGACAGCGTGCTGTTTTTTTTAATTTGGTGCACACTGCTCATACGCTTGCGTGAGTATAGCAGTGATGGGCCGACATTATATTTTGATTTCATTACTAACATCAACCGATGCCGTTTGATCCTGTGATGTCATTCTGTTTCTGTTCTTCTTTTTGTTTTGAGTTGAAAGCCTTTTGGGGACAGTCTGAACGCATGGTCGCACTGGTCTGCTGTTCCTGCATTGAACTCTTTTCTCCTTGCAGCTTGATGACTCGACTGCACATGCGATTCAAACCTGGCATCTTTTTTTCTTTTTTTATTGCAGCTCAGTTACCTACTGTTGATGTATCCCTCCACTCCCATGCCATGTGCCAAACATCATTGCTGTGTGCATTGGTTTTATATTTAGAGATCCAGGACCCTCTGTAGATTTAAAGTCATCTTTACAAGTTACTGTAAATGTTAATGTGAAACAATGCCAACACTGTTTTCATGGAGCTTTATACCCACTATTAGTTATTTCAATTAAATTACGATCTTACTACTTTGTAATAATTGCTTTTACTGATTATCTCCATTTAAGCGTCAAAATGACATACATAAAAACAAGTAAATGTAATATTACATATACATATTAGGCTTTATGCTAAATTAAATAACTGCTTCTAATCAGTCTCCCATCATACTACTTTGATCACTTTTTTGTTTAGGTTTACTTTTTTTCTTTACTTTGTCTCAAACTGTGATGTGGGTGCGATGCGGCTAGGCCCTGCATCCACCACCCACCATCAGAACTTGTCTTAATACTTTTGTCTCACCCCATTGTCCACCACTGTTTGTCATGTAGGGCGCATCCACGTAGTGGATCAGTCCAGACCAGTCCCAACAGCACCCCCATGTCCAGTAGAAGAGGACGGCAGCTCCCACAGCTCCCACCCACGGGGAAAGAGAGAAGTAAGTCACCTGGTTTTATTTATTTCTGGATCACATTGTTACTGTCGCTGAAGAAACGTACAGACGGGTCTATCAGTGCGATGGTGTGTCTCTGGTTAGTGCCTCATTATGATATAGATTGATACTTTTTCATTGGGTGGCCCAACTGATTGGGATTGAGGAGGAAGAACGAGGAAAGATGTTGGTTTGCTGTTGGAATCTTTCATTATAGGCTATAGATCATATGTAATATGCAAGGATACTTACCCTCCATAACATCTCTACTCGGTTCCTTTTCCATTTCTCTCTCAGAAGATGGAGACGAAGGAACAGAGCCTTGTGAAGGTCTGTACCTGAATGTATGGGTTTAGTCTTTCAGTGTGGGTGTCCTGCTCCAGATGCAACTCACTCTGAAGGCCAAAACCCTGTCTGCAACGGTGGAAGGCCGTTTACTGAGCACTCCCTCTGCTGCAGCTGTGTTGTGTCCTGTGTCCTGTGTCCTGTGCCGTTGTGTTGCTCCATCCTGTAGGTTAGCTTTGCTTCCCTGGTTCCTTGTTTTGAGTGTATTTGTCTGGGAGTAATTGAATTATTTTAATTATTTGGACTGCTGAGATACTCATAAAATGATTGTCTGTCTCTATCTCCTAAACGTACTTTAAACTGTGATGACGGCTGTGATTATGGTTTCTGACATCTTGAAAGTGACATTTGAAGTCTTATTTGTTCCTCAGCACTCCCTTAACAAACGTTACATGTCGAAGCTTCTTGTGACATGAAACCGTGTGTGTTTGAATCAGTCAAAGAGCTTTGCTGGGGATTTGAGGGAATGCCTGGGTCAAAAACAGAGAGAGGAGAAAAAAGCGTCTGCAGTTCTGGAGAACTTGTCAATGCACTCGCAGAACTCTTTCATCATCATGAGGGCTTCCCTGTCTCTTCTGTACAGCGGCCAACAAGCCTGTCTCTCTCTTTCTCCGTCCTCCTGACTCTCAGTCCCGCCTCTTTTCTGTATCTGTGCCTCTGAAGCTCTCTCTGTCTGGACCTCTCTGTCGCTTCTTTGTGTCTCCTTTTCTTCTTCACTCTTGCCCCAATTTCCTTGTTTCTCTTTGTCAGGGACTTTATCCCTACTCTCTCCTTTCCTTCTTTGTGTTTGTATGTCTTTCCCTCTCTCTGCTGTAGCTCTCAGGACAGTGACAGTGTGTGGGCAGTGGGGGGAGGTATTGATCTGACCTTGTGCTGTAGCTCCCACAGAGCCGTATGGCACTCAGCTTATGTGTGTGTGTGTGTGTGTGTGTGTGTGTGTGTGTGTGTGTGTGTGTGTGTGTGTGTGTGTGTGTGTGTGTGTGTGTGTGTGTGTGTGGCAATTGTATGAACTGGATCCGGGTTATTGCTGCTCACAGAGAAGAGCTGTACTGTTGATAGAGCTGGTATTGTTTTGCCTTGTTGCTGTGCTTCAGAGTTGTTTCGTACCTCATACACATACCTAACTGTCTTGTTTAATATCTGTTCGTTTGTGGCAACTCCAAAGACGGAGCAGGGGAGGAGTGTGTGGCACCTCAACCCCAAAACGGTGGCCCAGGTGTGTTTAAACAGCCTTTAAACCAATGTGTTTTCCTTATTATTTAAAAATGTTTTATTCGGAATGGATATGTGATAAGCTTAAGATATTTTAAGAGTCAGGAGCTTGTTTTGTTTCTGGATGAGAGTAAGGTACAGCATGTGTTGAAGCGCAGTACATTCATCCACAAGCTTGAATGAACGGCCCGACTGTTGGCAGGAGCTGGAGTTCCCCACAGTTTCCACTTCCTACTTTCCCGTCTGTTTATGTGGTACGCTCCTGTCCTCTGACTGTGTGGCACGGCTGTATTACTCAACACTGCCTGACTGAGTGGATGCTAAAAACGAAGTGGTTTCTAAAAAGCCACATTTTCAAGTTGAAGTGAAACTAGTGACTAGTGATACTCTGCAGGCTAAATGCTGCGAAAGGAAGGTGTTTGGGCTGCATACAAAAGTTGCACCGTGCCATTAACCACACCTTGTACTACATTAATAACAAAAAAACTCATACTATGTTTGTGTAATAGGCTATTCACTATTACATTTTTTTTTTGACAATTTGGAATACCGTAATGAGTCATTTATTCCCAAAAATTCACATAATCCTAAGGGCAGATATAAGTACTGTACCAACAACAAAAGCACTTTTGTTTCTCATTCATGGCTTAAACCAAAAATGATCCCAGACTGAAACGTGAAAGATAAGTTGATAACCAAATCATGATGACAGGCCTTAGTGAGTACGTTTTGTGTGCGTTTCTGTGTGAATCTGTGGATGTATGTGCACTTGTGCTTGAGCACATACAGTATAAGATGCCATATTAATGTGACTTACGGCACCAGTGTAGGGTTTCAGAGCGCCACCATTTCACGAGCCTCCATCTGTCCCTCCACTAGCAGCAGACTGTGAGGAAAAACCCCAGGGCCCGCCAGTAAACGGGAGGAAAGGCAAGTCCTCTGAACAGTGTGACGGCGTGACTTTGCTGTGTCGGCTTTCTCGATCAACAATCACAACAATTCATGTGTGACATTCACTATCATCTGTGATTCTCCACTTCTCTCGGTGGCTCTTCCTTCTTGTTTGCTAAAGCACATTTATGTAGTCAAACTTCCCTTTTATCAATTTTCACTACTATATCCCCTGAGTGTGGTTAGTTGCTTCTGAGCTGATTTGATGTGATGATGAGGAGTTGTATGCAGTTGAATCTGTTGTTAACGTGTAAAGAGTGCTGTCGCTGTGATCTCTGCGGCTCTGTCCCGCTCCGGCCATAATCTGCCCTTAACTTTGATAGATATTCATTCTGCTCAACTCCAGCCCACAAAGGAAGGGCTCTCGGTCGCCATTGTGACATCACCAATTATTTTTGATTAATTGATTGAATGATTATTGGACACTGTACAATACTGCCTTAAGCAGTTTCAGTCATTCATAACTTCTGCAATTCTTTAATTAATTACTACACTTATGAATTAATGGCAGTTTTTCCAGAATTCTGTGCATTTCCCTTTAAGCTATAGAGAGGTATTGCTGGGTCTAATTTAGAACCTCATAGACTGTTACCTCCGCTGGCCAGCAGATGGAGCAAAACTCATTATCTTTGACGAGGAGCTGTCCATGATTTCAGTGCTGAACTGGCAAAGAGGTTTTTTCCTGTTAGCAATCCTTACATAGCCCTCTGTTGTAACTATAAAATACCCTTTAAAAGGTTTTATGTTCATTTTACGTTATGTTTTTTTTTCGTCCATGATTCTACAAACCTATGATAATCCAAGATCCATTAGGTTCCTGTAGCGTTCAATCCAATGTGTGTGTGTGTGTATCTGAATGTGTGTGCGTGTCTTGCTGTAGAAGTGACATGGGAGGACCAGCAGCGGGGGCTGAATGGCTGTCTGTCTGATGGAGGGACACAGCCACACCCCTCCCTCACTGACCCAGGTTTGTTGGTTGGTCGTGGTGTGAACTCTGACACTTTGAAAGACATATTTCACTTTGATGGAATATTTTCTCACAATTGATCACATGAGTCCATGAATAGTAACCGCTTTCTTCAATGTCCCTAAAACGTCTTTAGAGTTGCTTTACATGGAATGTTAATCAAGAGGGAGATTTTTCATGCAAAAAGTGTTTACTGTGGAGCAATAGAAGATAATCAGTTTTCCCTTCATTCAGTAATTCATTCATGGCCTCTTGAGTGATGTCCTTCTGTTTTCCTGTCTTTGTTTGGATTTGCAGTGCAGCATGGAGCTGATGTTTCTGTCGACACACATTTGTGAAAAGCACAGCATATTTCCTTAGTCTTGAAACAGTGGTCATACTTCATTAATAAAGTACATTTTGATAAGATGGCATGTGTTGCTAAGGTAATGCCACTATTGGTTCCTTGAGGTACTGTGTTTGCTGTATTAGTTAATGTGCTTTCATGGAAACACATCTTCACGTCCCTCTGAATTAAGCCTTCTTTATGTTCACCTGTCATGTCAAAATGCCCGCAAGTTCTGCGGTGGGTCTAGCTAATACTTATTTTAAACATAATTTACATAAGTTATTAAATGGTAAACAAAGCCAGATTGTGTCAGCAACAATTTTTTCCTATATCTGTTTTGTTACAGTGTAACAACTTTGACCTTCCAAAAAATGTTTACTGAGAAATTTGGCTTTAAATAATGGCGCTCCGACATGGCCGTAAAGCCTTTTCCTCCTACTGACTGATACCATGAACATTCAGCTAGCGTTGTCCTTAGTTGTTCCGCCTTTTATTCTCTCAGCTCTTCCCTTCTCCTCTGTGTTTTTCTGTCTCTTATTAAAATCCGGTAACACTTTATATTAAGGTACATAAATTAACCATCAACTAGTTGTTAATTAACATGCATATTAGCAGTATATTGGCTCTTTATTAGTCATTATAACACACTTATTAATGCCTTATTCTACATGACCGTATTCCACAAGTAATAGGCCATTAGTTGAGAGTTTTTCCTCAATAACCCTCTAATTAGTGCTTATTTATTGCAAGAAAGGAAATTGTTGTATGAGTGTTGGTCTTAATATGCGCTGCTCAATATGGGCCTAATAAGGCAGTAGTACCACAAGAATAGTAATTCTTCTTAACAAATATGATCTATTCTTATGTAACAAGACATGAAACTATAAGTGTTAATTGTGTCTAAATAACTCAAAATTAGATATTTATATCTAAGAATATGTTTTGGTTCAGCTACCAATAGCAAGGTGATATTGACCTGTATGTTTCATATTAGCCCATTTATATTTTTGTAAAATTTGTAGTGAAGGTTAGACAGGAAACCGGGCACAGGAAGTAGGAGAAAGTGAACTGAATAGAGTGCCACAGTGACCCGTCCTAAAACCCGGAAGTAAACTCCTTTCAGTTCCTTCGACAAAAAAGCAATGACATTTCTCCACAGGATTTTGGAAAATAGCTGGAAATAAGGTCTGTGGTTGACACACA